ATTTTACATACATGTATATATTATATATATAATACACACACACACATATATATATTATACACACGCATGCATATAAATCGGATACTCACAACCAAGAGTGACACTGGAACTTCTACAGGGTGTGAAGTCGTGTGGTGATTGGATGTTGAGTCGGCTTTTATATACGAAGCAGCTGCGTCTTTGCTGCTGTGTCTTGGTGACTCAGCTGTCACGGATAGGGAACACAGGCGAGCTTGTGGTGACGTCAATGGATTTTTTCTTATAAGAACTAACTTGTTATTTACGCACCATAGTTAAGAAATATCTATGCATTACATGCTTCACAACAATATATGCAGTATACACGTATACGGAATCTACTACCAACTCTCGCAATCTCTCTCTCCCCCTCTTCACTGTATGTACACACACATAAATTCATATGTATATATATGTATATGTGTAATTATATATATGTACATGTATATAATTACATGCACACATCACACACACACACACACACACACACACATGTATGTATATATTACACAGAAACATACAGATGCACACACACAAGCAGATATGCATGTATATACAAACATATATCCACATTAGAAATACACTATATATATTTACAAAAAATAACAGCACACGTATATATGTATATATATGCATACTTATATATATATACATATATATACATATGTATATGTATATATATATTAATAAGCAACACAAACACATATTAGTGAATTCCTATGTATCTAATATTTGCACACATTTTTGTCTTTTTATAGTTTCTTATATGGAGTTCACTGTAAATGGCTCCTAAGAATATTGATAAAGGATTGTATATACGTAGACAGGCAGATGGGTAAATATAAATAAAATATTCTGATTATCTGACACGTATCAAGCTGATCATCTTGAAAGTTAAGAACCATTAAGGTACTTGTGAAGAGTTTTTGGATAAGGAATAAAAAAAGGAATTTTGACATATGAAGTATGGAAAATTATAACATAGATAAATATACACACATATATATACACATGTATATATATGTATATACATATGTATGTATATATATGTATATATACATAGGCATATATACTTATACACACACACACACACACATATATATGTATATATGCGAATTCGTGGCTTTAATGGCTTCTCGAAATCTTTCAAAAGAAATTAATGAATGAAAAAGATTATGCGAATCAGAAAAAGAAAATTTTCACAGTATACGGATTTAGTCTGACTGCATAGAATAGTAATGTGCACCGGGTGATTTAAATTTAGTTGTTAGTATACAGTATATTATGAAAGTATGAGGGTGGGTATGGTAAGTGTACCAAATGCTGAACACATACCGCTTCACTATTGAAAGCTAGTCAATTTTCCGTATTCATTTCTTTTGATATCGAAAGAGCATTGTCGCTCTGTGTAATTCCTAGAAACTCTTGTGTAAATCGTTGGTTATGTGCGATTTCTGACAAGAAGTTATCTCGGGAACGTCTTGTATTTTCCTTCGATTTAATGAGATTGTATATTTACGATAAATCCTATAGGAAATATGTGTACGGAATACCTATGCAGAATGCTAGAAACTTGTAGTAAATTAAAGAGAGAGAGAGAAAAAAAAACATGTATATGAAGATAGACTCGACAGGTAATAATTGTTGCTGAGAATTTAAATGAAAACTGCTTTGCTGTAGCTATAATCAGCTAGCAACTTTTAGTCGTAAAAAACTCATACTTATGCTTCATATTATTTGATCCTCCATGTAAACGGACCTTGTAACAAGGAAGAAAGTCTACCACAGACCACTTTGTAATCCCATCACAAATATGTATACGACCCCTGGCTTTTGATTAAAATCGGTCAAACCAATAAACATTGCCTAAAACCTATCTTCCTCCACTGGTGGATATAGAAATAGAAGTTTAGTGAAATTACCACTTATTCATTTTTAGATCATGTAAATGTATAATAGATTCATATATGCACGCATACAGAGCTTTCATTATATTTAGAAATATGCTTACAATGTCAAAAATATAAAGTTAAAGGAAACATTTCCACATATTGTGTTGATATTCACTCATTCTTATAGATACTATAAACTGTCTCGTATTTTGCCACTCAGAACACCTTTTACTGTTCACTTTTTCCACTTTCCCATAAGCATTCTTTGTTTTAAAGATTTAATATGTCATTCTTGGGGGAAGATAAAAGTGTTATTAGGGTTGGGGTGGTATGGGGATTGAGAGACCTACCCCAGCCACTCAATTTTGTGTTATTAAACAGGAAAAATGAAGATAGGATTTCAATAATATACATGTCCACCATAAGATAATTGTTGATTTGAATAACAATTATTGCTGTCATAAGTGTCAGATGATCTATGAAATCTGCCAGGAAGGTATGTGGTCATATAACATTCAAAGAGAATTTCTTTTATAGAATACAGGTTAGGAAAGATCAACTAAATGCTAAGAATTTATTAAGAAAAAATAAAAGGTTTATTTGAGATTAGATTTTAGATTCAAAAGATTTTGACTCGAATCAGTATTTACAAGATCAATTATCAATTTGAAAAGAGCGTAGATAGGATTTCCGGTAAACGTTGCTTTGCTCTCTCCGTGTTCACTGTTATGCTTCTTCAGAGATGAGTCACACACACCTTTGAGGCACTTTATGAAATCGAAGACCACCGTCAAGTACGAAAAGATAGAACGTAACCATTAGTGAAAACAATTTCGTGGCATAAAATGCTTGAAAAAATCTCGTTCAGTTAAAAGAGCATTTGAAGAAAAAATCTCAAATCATAGTTGGCAGTTGATTATATCTTTCAGCAGAGTATGAAAGCCTTACGTCAAGTTCGCTCTCCTCGACTACACAAGTGCCGTCTTCAATGGCAGCCAGCATAGCCTCTGCTTGCTCTGCTTCTTCTAACTTGGCGATCAAGTCTTCTGTGAAGGTCGTCGCATCGAACAAACCATCATCCTTTTTAAAAATAGGATTAAAATATGATGAAGTACTGATAAGGATTCAACCTTTGGTAACATACAGTAATATATTACATTCATGTTTATGCAGACGGTAAATTGAAAAGTATTATTCACAATGACCTGCTAACAAAACTTTTACATTGGTGTGAAGTTTAAATATATACACGCATGCACTCACATGTGTACAGGAGGCATGAGCGGTAGGATAACGCATTGCATCAGTTTTCAATTATCTTTAAAATCTTTAAATCTATTAATACTATATTATATGCAGTATATGGCTCCTAAGAATATTGATAAAGGATCGTATATATGTGTAGAGAGGCAGGTGGGTAGATGTAAATAAGAGTGGTAGATATATACATATACATGTACATGTACATATACATATATACACATGCACAAACATATATATACCTCTGATTTACTGGCACGTATCTATCTGGTCTTGAAAATTGAAATCTATATTTGGTACTTGTGAAGAATTTTCATGAAAGGAAGAATAAACAAAGGATTTTTTATAGTTCCCTAACAAATAGAAAACCTGGAGAGTTATAACACAGATACACATATACATTTTATATATATATACACAGTATATATATATTTCGAAAAGCCACTAAAGCCACGAATTCGCACATATATATATATATATATATATATATATTATATATATATACATACACACACACAAACGAATTCGTGGCTTTAGTTGCTTCTCGAAAATCTTTCAAAAAAGAGATTATTAGTTAGTGAAAAAGATTATGCGAATCATGCAAACACGTCACATTTCTGAGTAATTTTCCATACATCTCGATATAATTGTCCGTAGCATATTAGTGTGCACCAATTGATTTGAATTTACTTTTTAGTATATATACATTATATGTATATGTATGCACAGTATATATATACGTATATGCACATTTCTGCTAAAATTTCCTAGCAACATTAGTCGTCAAAAGCTTTGATCCGCCATCAAAACTATTACGTATTTCACTCACTTCAGTAAATACAAAATTGGTATACACGCGATATTAACGTCTGATTTCGCCTTAAGGGACTGAGGGACTGAGGGACCACACAATGGAATCACGGAAAATTTATGCTGAATTAGAAATCGGAGACAGCAGATCGGCACCAAAGGTCAAGACAGGTCTATTACATACCACTTTGGTGCTGAATAGTAATTTGGTGCTGAATAGTCTTGGAAGGGCGGACGACACCTGAATTTTGATTAAAATCGGTCAAATTATTTTTGAGAAACAAATAAACCAATAAACATTGCCGAAAACATTGGTGGATATAGAAACAAAGAAAAGAACAAACAAAAAAACGATAAACATTGCCTAAAACATTGGTGGTGGATGTAGAAATAATAGTTTTATGAAAACCTGAGAAATTTATTAAAATGCCACTCATGTTTATTTTTAGGTCATTTAGATTTATAACATTCATATGTGCACACATACATAGATTAAAGCAGAGTCTTCATTATACTTAGAGATATGCTTACCAATGTCAAAAAGGAAACATTTCCACATATTGTATTGATACTTATTCTTCCTTATAGATACTATAAACTGCCTTGTATTTTGCCACTTCCTCAAAAGCACCTTTTACTATTCAGTCTTTGCAGCTTCCCATATTTTGTTTTAATAACTCATAGGTTTTCTTGAAGCAAGACAAAAATGTTATTAGGTTCACCATTAAAGAACTGTTGATTTGAATAACAATTATTTCTACCATAAGTGTCTAATGATCTCTAAAATCTGCCAGCAACAGACGGTTTCCTTGAATATATTTCATCATTGTAGTTATACTGTTGACATATGCACAGTCAAGTTACATTCAAGAAGGATTTCTTTCATAAATATCAGGTTAGAAGTAATCAAGTGAATGCTAACTATTTATTAGGAAGATATCTAGACAATAGATTAGATTTTTAATTCAAAAGATTCTGAATCGAATCAACATTTTCAGGATCAAAATGATCAATTTGAAAGGAGCGTAGATCGGATTTCCGGTAACCGTTGCTTTGCACTTTCCGTGTTCATTGTTATGCTTCTTCAGATGATGGGTCGGTTACGTCTTTACACTCCTCTTTGAGGCACTTTATGAAATCGAAGACCACCGTCAACTACGGAAAAAAATAGAACGTAACCATTAGTGAAAACAATTTCGTGGTCTAAAATGCTTGAATAAAATCTTCGACACTCATTCAGTTAAAAGAACATTTAAAGAAAGAGTCTCAGATCATAGTTGGCAATTGATTATATCTTTCAGCTGAGTATGGAAGCCTTACGTCAGGTTCGCTCTCCTCGACTACACAAGTGCCGTCCTCAATGGCAGCCAAAATAGCATCTGCTTCCGGAGAATCCTCTATTTCTTCTAACTTGTCGATCACGTCTTCTGTGAACGCCGTCGCATCGAACAAACCATCATCCTTTTTATAAATAAAATTAAGATATGATGAAGTACTGGTATGGATTGAACCTTAGATGACACAAATGAATATAATATTACATTCATTGTGTCTGCAAGCATGTGGTAGATTAAAAAGTACATTACTCACAATGACCTACTAAGAAAACATTTACATTGGTGTGGAGATTAGATACATAGCAAGGCAAACTTACTGTGAGAAGGTCTTTCTCCTCGAAGATACACTCGGCTAGGGCTGTCTGATCTTCTTGAGGAAGGCGTGAAATTAACCGCATCATACGAGGACTTCTCTTTCCCCTGTTACGTCCTCTGCGGCCGCTGGGTCGTCGACCAGGCCCTTTGGGTATTTCATTTTTACTTCCAACCATTTCATTCATTTTTTAGCTTACATGCATCACTTAACTTTATCCCAGTTTATTATATTTATACATAGATGATTCCCAGGTACTTAGTCACCAAGGAGTCAAATACTAGTCCTATCTCCCATATTTACCATTCTTCATTTTCGGAAATATACATATTTTAATTCTTATACTGTTATTAGTGTTATTAGTGACATATAATGCCAATAATAATATTAATAGCATCAGATTTTTTTTTCCGAAAAGGGGAAATCATACAAGGTCACACAGGCCTACTATGTAACTAAGCACTTTTGGAACTATGCGTAAAAACTTCATAAAACAAACACCACAGTGGACAGTGCATGTTTCCAGTGAGTTAACACTCAAATGTCAAATGTCATTCGAAAATCACTCACGGTTTAGGTTCAGGACGATTCCATTTTCCTCCATACAGCTTCCTATGATTTCTGTCATGTTTTCCTTATGCATCAGCTCGTATATCACCTCGTGGCATTCACCTGTTTAAGAGGATGATCCAAGATTAGTTTAAAGTAGTTTCATAATATGTGCTCTTTGTTCAAATCTTAGGATATATCTCGTTTGTTGTTTAAACGAATGCAACCTTCATGCGAAGCAAGTTAGTATGAGAATTATAACGTTATTTACGCGTCTGACTATTAACGTATAGTAAACAAAGTAAATATTTTAATGATGTATTTCTTTCTTTAGAAGAACTATATGAACGAATTAGCTTTCCATATAAAAAACGATATTTAACTTCATAGGATACAATGAGATTTAGAACGCCAGTGTCTTCGAGCGCTTGAGTGCATCCTCAGTAAATAAAATTCAGAGATTCATTGCATTTTCGGACATGTGGAGATGGCAATTGGGCTGTGACTGATATGTTGTGGCTCTCACTGTCATGCCGAACGGACGCCCAGTGTTCTTTGCACGTGCCTAAATAGACAGAACTAGAGGCAAAAGAAAAATGGATTTGGATAAGTTCTATGAAACTTCTTTGAAATGGTTTCGTCTTCCATTTCAGCTGAAACATTTCAATATATAAAATCTGGAAAAGCTCTCGCAAAATTCAATTTTTTTTTCCCTGCAAGCCTGAACCGCTACCATGGCGGGCATGAGCGCGAGCAGCATCAACAACTCCCTTGAAACATTGAAATGGCTTCGCCCTTCTGTTCGTTTACAACGTAGTAATATGTCAGGAAAAGCTCTCGGGAACTTACCTCTTCCCCTGGAAGCCTGAACCGCCACCATGGCGGCCGCGAGCGCGAACAGCATCAACAGCTCCTTCATGATGATAGCGATTCGCTGTGAAACAGTGTTAGTTATTTTTAGACATAATTTGTGTTTTTTTTTTCCATATATTTATGTATGTATATAGTCATTCATCTATGTATACCTATATGTACAATCTAGTACATGTCCAACTGCCTACAAAGGATGCATTTATACTGTAAACAAACATACACACATGTTTATATATGTATGTATATTTACTCATAATCGAAAAAAGTACATATTTATATAAACATATATTCCTAGATATCTTTTATATATATATTTATGTATATATAAATATATAAACGCACATATACGCGCCACACACACATAATTGCATATATATATACACATGTCTATATATATGCATATATATATAAACAAACATATATGTATATTTATATACGTATACAAATATTTATATATATATACACACGCACACACGGATATATATGCATAAACATATACAAAATGTACATACATATATATATCATTATCTGTCTGCTGACACTTTAGTGATGCATAAATATACAAAGATATTTACATATATTTTACATACATGTATATATTCACATATACATTATATATTCATTACAAATACTATGTATGTATTATATATACTACACACACACACACATATATATACACACACACGCATGCATATAAATCGGATACTTACAACCAAGAGTGACACTGGAACTTCTACAGGGTGTGAAGTCGTGTGGTGACTGGATGTTGAGTCGGCTTTTATATACGAAGCAGCTGCGTCTTTGCTGCTGCCTTGGTGACTCAGCTGTCACGGATGGGGTACAAAGGCGAGCTTGTGGTGACGTCAATAGAATTGCAATATTTGGATTTTTTCTTATAAGAACTGACGTTATTTACGCACCATAGTTAAGAAATATTTATTCATTATATGCTTGCGTTCACAACAACATATGCATTATGGCCAGAGCACACGTATACTGAATCTACTACCAACTCTCGCAATCTCTCTCTCCCCCTCTTCACTGTATGTACACACACATAAATTCATATGTATATATATGTATATGTGTAATTATATACATGTACATGTATGTAATTACATGCACATATCACACACACACACATATATATGTTACACAGAAACATACAAATGCACACACACATCCAGATATGCATGTATATACACACATATACACCTTACATATACAATATACATATTTACAACAACACACGTATATATGTATATATATATATGCATACTTATATATATACATATGTATATGTATATATATATATTAATAAGCAACACAAACACATATTAGTGAATTCCTATGTATCTAATATTTGCACACATGTATTCATATATGTAAATGAGGCATGGGCATGAAGATAATGCATTACATCGGTTTTGAGTTATTTTAATAGTCTTTTTATAGTTTCTTATATGGAGTTCACTGTAAATGGCTCCTAAGAATATTGATAAAGGATTGTATATACGTAGACAGGCAGATGGGTAAATATGAATAAAATATTCTGGTTCACTGACACGTATCAAGCTGATCATCGTGAAAGTTAAGAACCATAAAGGTACTTGTGAAGATTTTTTGTAAAAGGAATAAATAAAGGAATTTTGATTGTTTTTCTCTTAACAAATGCCACATGAAGTCTGGAAAATTATAACATAGATAAATATACACATTATATATAAACACATGTATATCTATGTATATACATATGTCTATATATGTATATATACATAGGCATATATACTTACACACACACACACATATATATGCGAATTCGTGGCTTTAATGGCTTCTCGAAATCTTTCAAAACAAATTATTAATGAATGAAAAAGATTATGCGAATCAGATTTTTTTTTTTTCATAGCTTACGGATTTAGTCTGACTCCATAGATGTTAATGTGCACCGGGTGATTTTAATTTAGTTGTTAATATACAGTATGTATATATACACAGTATATATATATGTACTTTTTTATTTCTGTCTCTCTATATTATGAAAGTATGAGGGTGGGTATGGTAAGTGTACCGAATGCTGGACACATACCGCTTCACTGTTGAAAGCTAGTAAATTTTCCGTATTCATTTCTTTTGATATCGAAAGAGCATTGTCGCTCTGTGTAATTCTTAGAAACTCTTGTGTAAATCGTTGGTTATGTGCAATTTCTGACAAGAAGTTATCTCGGGAACGTCTTGTATTTTCCTTCGATTTAATGGGATTGTATATTTACGATAAATCCTATAGGAAATATGTTTCATCACGTGTACGGAATACCTATGCAGAATGCTAGAAACTTATAGTAAATTAAAGAGAGAGAGAGAAAAAAACATGTATATGAAGGTAGACTCGACAGATAATAATTGTTGCTGAGAAATTAAATGAAAACTGCTTTGCTGTAGCTATAATCAGCTAGCAACTTTTAGTCGTAAAACACTCATACTTATGCTTCATATTATTTGATCCTCCATGAAAACGGACCTTGTAACAAGGAAGGAAGTCTACCACAGACCACTTTGTAATTCCATCACAAATATGTATACGACCCCTGGCTTTTGATTAAGATTGGTAAAAAACCAATAAATATTGCCTAAAACATATCTTTCTCCACTGGTGGATATAGGAATAGAAGTTTAGTGAAGTTACCACTCATATTCATTTTTAGATCATGTAAATGTATAATGCATTCATATATGCTCGCATGCAGAGCTTTCATTACACTTAGAAATATGGTTACAATGTCAAAAATATAAAGTTAAAGAAAACATTTCCACATATTGTGTTGATATTCACTCATTCTTATAGATACTATACACTGTCTCGTATTTTGCCACTCAGAACACCTTTTACTGTTCACTTTTTCCACTTTCCCATAAGCATTCTTTGTTTTAAAGATTTAATATGTCATTCTTGGGGGAAGATAAAAGTGTTATTAGGGTTGGGGTGGTATGGGGATTGAGAGACCTACCCCAGCCACTCAATTTTGTTTTATTAAAGAGGAAAAAATGGAGATAGGATTTCAATAATATACATGTCCACCGTGAGATAATTATTGATTTGAATAACAGTTATTGCTGTCATAAGTGTCAGATGATCTATCTGAAATCTGCCAGCAACGGTTGGTTTCCTGAATAGATTTCATCGTGGTGATTACTGTATACTTTTAAGGTATGTCGGCATATAACATTCAATGAGAATTTCACAAGTAGGTGAAGAATGATCATCTGAATGCTAAGGATTTATTAGGAAAAAATAAAGGTGGATTAGATTTCAGATTCAAAAGATTTTGAATCGAATCAGTAGTTACAGGATCAGTCATCAATTTGATGAAAGGAGCGTAGATAGGATTTCTGGTAACCGTTGCTTTGCTCTCTCCGTGTTCACTGTTATGCTTCTTCAGATGATGAGCCACACACACCTTTGAGGCACTTAATGAAATCGAAGACCAGCATCAGCTACGGATAGATAGAACGTAACCATTAGTGAAAACAATATCGTGGTATAAAATGCTTGAATAAAATCTTCGACATTGAACTAATCTCATTCAGTTAAAAGAACATTTAAAATAAAAGTCTCAGATCATAGTTGGCAATTGATTATATCTTGCAGCTGAGTATGGAAGCCTTACGTCAGGTTCGCTCTCCTCGACTACACAAGTGCCGTCCTCAATGGCAGCCAACATAGCCTCTGCTTCCGGAGAATCCTCTATTTCTTCTAACTTGGCGATCACGTCTTCTGTGAACGCCGTCGCATCGAACAAACCATCATCCTTTTTTATAAATAAGATTAAGATATGATGAAGTCCTGGTATGGATTGAGCTTTTGATGGCATAAATGAATATATCACACTCATTATGTCTGTAAGCATATGGTAAAACGAAAAGTACATTACTCACAATGACCTGCTAAGAAAACATTTACATTGGTGTGAAGATTAGATAGAGGAAGAGCGAGGCGAACTCACTGTGAGAAGGTCTTTCTCCTCGAAGATACACTCGGCTAGGGCTGTCTGATCTTCTTGAGGAAGGCGTGAAATTAACCGCATCATACGAGGACTTCTCTTTCCCCTGTTACGTCCTCTGCGGCCGCCGCGTCCTCGACTAGGCCCTTTGGGTATTTCATTTTTACTTCCAACCATTTCATTCATTTTTTAGCTTACATGCATCACTTAAGCTTATCCCACAGTTTATTATATTTATACATAGATGATTCCCAGGTGCTTAGTCACCAAGGAGTCAAATACTAGTCCTATCTCCCATATTTACCATTCTTCATTTTCGGAAATATACACACTTTAATTCTTATATTGTTATTAGTGGTGTTAGTGATATATAATGCCAATAACGATATTAATAGCATCAGATTTTTTTTCCGAAAAGGAGAAATCATGTAAGGTCACACAGGCCTATCATGTGACTAAGCACTTTTGGAACTATCTATGCGTAAAAACATGTTTTCAGTGAGTTAACACTCAAATGTTAAATGTCATTCGAAAATCACTCACGGTTTAGGTTCAGGACGATTCCATTTTCCTCCATACAGCTTCCTATGATTTCTGTCATGTTTTCCTTATGCATCAGCTCATATATCACCTTGTGGCATTCACCTGTTCAAGAGGATGATCCAAGATTAGTTTAAAGTAGTTTCACAACATGTGCTCTTTGTTCAATTCTTAGGATATATCTCGCTTGTTGTTTAAACGAATGCAACCTTCATGCGAAGCAAGTTAGTATGAGAATTATAACGCTATTTACGCGTCTGACTATTAACGTATAGTAAACAAAGTAAATATTCTAATGATGTATATCATTTTATAGAGAAGAACTATATGAACGAATTAGCTTTCCATATAAAAACGATATTTAACTTCATAGGATACCATGAGATTTAGAACGCGTGTCTTCGAGCGCTTGAGTACGTCCTCAGTAAATAAAATTCAGAGATTCATTGCATTTTCGGACATGTGGAGATGGCAATCGGGCTGTGACTGATATGTTGTGGCTCTCACTGTCAGTGTTCTTTGCACGTGCCTAAATAGACAGAACTAGAGGCAAAAGAAAAATGGATTTGGATAAGTTCCATGAAACTTCCTTGAAATGGTTTCGTCTTCCTTTTCAGCTGAAACATTGCAATATTTACAATCTGGAAAATCTCTCGCAAAATTCCTTTTTTTCCCTGCAAGCCTGAACCGCCACCATGGCGGCCGTGAGCGCGAGCAGCATCAACAACTCCCTTGAAACATTGAAATGGCTTCGCCCTCCTGTTCGTTTACAACGTAGTAATATGTCAGGAAAAGCTCTCGGGACCTTACCTCCTCCCCTAGAAGCCTGAACCGCCACCATGGCGGCCGCGAGCGCGAACAGCATCAACAGCTCCTTCATGATGATAGCGACTGACTGTGAAACAGAGTTAGTTATTTTTAGACATCATGTGTGTTTGTTTTCCATATATTTATATATGTATACAGTCATTCATCTATGTATACCTATATGTATAATCTAGTATATGTCCAACACATGCCTACATGCGAAGCATTTATACTGTAAACAGAATAAACATACACACATGTGTTTATATATGTTTGTATATTTACTCATAATCGAAAAAGTACATATGTAAATATATATTCCTAGATATCTTTTATATACATGTATATATAAATATACATATTAACGCACATATACACGCCACACACACATATAAATGCATATATATCTATATGCATGTCTATATATATATGCATATATATATATAAACATATATGTATATTCATATACGTATACAAATATTTATATATATATACACACGCACACACGGATATATATGCATAAACATATACAAAATGTACATACATATATATATCATTATCTGTCTGCTGACACTTTAGTGATGCATAAATATACAAAGATATCTACATATATTTTACATACATGTATATATTCACATATACATTATATATTCATTACAAATACTATGTATGTATTATATATACTACACACACACACATATATATACATACACACGCATGCATATAAATCGGATACTCACAACCAAGAGTGACACTGGAACTTCTACAGGGTGTGAAGTCGTGTGGTGACTGGATGTTGAGTCGGCTTTTATATACGAAGCAGCTGCGTCTTTGCTGCTGCCTTGGTGACTCAGCTGTCACGGATAGGGAACACAGGCGAGCTTGTGGTGACGTCAATAGAATTGAAATATTTGGATTTTTTCTTATAAGAACTCACTTGTTATTTACGCACCATAGTTAAGAAATATCTATACATTACATGCTTGTGTTCACAACAATATATGTAGTATGGCCACAGCACACGTGTACTGAATCTACTACCAACTCTCGCAATCTCTCTCTCCCCTCTTCACTGTATGTACACACACATAAATTCAAATGTATATATATATGTATATAAGTGTAATTATATACATGTACATGTATGTAATTACATGCACATATCACACACATACAAACATACACACACATATAATTACACAGAAACATACAGATGCACACACACATGCAGATATGCATGTATATACACACATATACACATTACATATACACTATATATTTACAAAAAAATAACAGCACACATATATATGGATATATTTGCATACTTATATATATATATATACATATGTATATGTACATATATATTAATAAGCAACACAAACACATGCACACATGTGTTCATATATGTAAATGAGGCATGGTTATGAGGATAATGCATTACATCGGTTTTGAGTTATTGTTGTCTTTAAGTCTTTGAATAGTTTCTTATATGGAGTTCACTGTAAATGGCTCCTAAGAATATTGATAAAGGATTGTATTTACGTAGACAGGCAGATGGGTAAATATGAATAAAATATTCCGGTTCACTGACACGTATCAAGCTGATCATCTTGAAAGTTAAGAACCATAAAGGTACTTGTGAAGATTTTTTGTAAAAGGAATAAATAAAGGAATTTTGATTGTTTTTCTCTTAACAAATGCCACATGAAGTCTGGAAAATTATAACATAGATAAATATACACATTATATATAAACACATGTATATCTATGTATATACATATGTCTATATATGTATATATACATAGGCATATATACTTACACACACACACATATATATATGCGAATTCGTGGCTTTAATGGCTTCTCGAAATCTTTCAAAACAAATTATTAATAAATGAAAAAGATTATGCGAATCAGAATTTTTTTTTTTCATAGCTTACGGATTTAGTCCGACTCCATAGATATTAATGTGCACCGGGTGATTTTAATTTACTTTTTAGTATACATTATATATATATGTACATTTCTATTTCTGTCTCTCTATATTATGAAAGTATGAGGGTGGGTATGGTAAGTGTACCAAATGCTGAACACATACCGCTTCACTGTCGAAAGCTAGTAAATTTTCCGTATTCATTTCTTTTGGTATCGAAAGAGCATTGTCTCTCTGTAATTCCTAGAAACTCTTGTGTAAATCGTTGGTTATATGCGATTTCTGACAAGTTATCTCGGGAACGTCTTGTATTTTCCTTCGATTTAATGGGATTGTATATTTACGATAAATCCTATAGGAAATATGTTTTATCACGTGTACGGAATACCTATGCAGAATGCTAGAAACTTGTAGTAAATTAAAGAGAGAGAGAAAAAAAAAACATTTATATGAAGGTAGACTCGACAGGTAATAATTGTTGCTGAGAATTTAAATGAAAACTGCTTTGCTGTAGCTATAATCAGCTAGCAACTTTTAGTCGTAAAACACTCATACTTATGCTTCATATTATTTGATCCTCCATGAAAACGGACCTTGTAACAAGGAAGGAAGTCTACCACAGACCACTTTGTAATTCCATCACAAATATGTATACAACCCCTGGCTTTTGATTAAAATTTGTCAAACCAATAAACATTGCCTAAAACATAGAAAACATTTCCACATATTGTGTTGATATTCATTCATTCTTATAGATACTATAAACTGTCTCGTATTTTGCCACTCAGAACACCTTTTACTGTTCACTTTTTCCACTTTCCCATAAGCATTCTTTGTTTTAAAGATTTAATATGTCATTCTCGGGGGAAGATAAAAGTGTTATTAGGGCTGTGGTGGTATGGGGATTGAGAGACCTACCCCAGTCACTCAATTTTGTGTTATTAAACAGGAAAAAATGGAGATAGGATTTCAATAATATACATGTCCACCGTGAGAGAATTGTTGATTTGAATAACAATTATTGCTATCAAAAGTGTCAGATGATCTATGAAATCTGCCAGGAAGGTAAGTGGTCATATAACATTCAAAGATAATTTCTTTCATAAAAAGCAGGTTAGAGAGGGTCGACTAAATGCTAAGAATTTATTAGGAAAAAATAAAGGTTTATTTGAGATTAGATTTTAGATTCAAAAGGTTTTGGCTCGAATCATTATTTACAAGATCAATTATCAATTTGAAAGGAGCGTAGATAGGATTTCTGGTAACCGTTGCTTTGCTCTCTCCGTGTTCACTGTTATGCTTCTTCAGATGATGAGCCACACACACCTTTGAGGCACTTAATGAAATCGAAGACCAGCATCAGCTACGGATAGATAGAACGTAACCATTAGTTAAAACAATATCGTGGTAGAAAATGTTTAAATAAAATCTTCGACATTGAGCTAATCTCATTGAAGAAAAAATCTCAGATCATATTTGCCAATTGATTATATCTTTCAGCTGAGTATGAAAGCCTTACGCTAGGTTCGCTCTCCTCGACTACACAAGTGCCGTCCTCAATGGCAGCCAACATAGCAACTGCTTCCGGAGATTGCTCTACTTCTTCTAACTTGGCGACCAATTCTTCTGTGAATGTCGTCGCATCGAACAAACCATCATCCTTTTTTATAAATAAGATATGAAGTACTGGTATGGATTGAACCTTTGATGACATAAATAAATATAATATCACATTCATTATGTCTGTAAGCATATGGTAAATCGAAACGTACATTACTTACAATGACCTACTAAGAAAATGTTTACATTGGTGTGAAGATTAGATAGAGGAAGAGGGAGGCGAACTCACTGTGAGAAGGTCTTCCTTCTCGAAGATACACTCGGCTAGGGCTGTCTGGTTTTCTTGAGGAAGACTTGAAATTAACCGCATCATACGAGGACTTCTCTTTCCCCTGTTACGTCCTCTGCGGCCGCCGGGTCGTCGACCAGGCCCTTTGGGTATTTCATTTTTACTTCCAACCATTTCATTCATTTTTTAGCTTACATGCATCACTTAACCTTATCCCACACTTTATTATATTTATACATAGATGATTCCCAGGTGCTTAGTCACCAAGGAGTGAAATACTAGTCCTACTTATCTCACCTGTTTACCATTCTTCATGTCAAAAATAATATTAATAGCATCAGATTTTTTTCCGAAAAGGGGAAATCATGTAAAGTAAATTCTTTATAAAACACTTCAGTGGACATTGTATGTACCATAGTTAACACTATCCTAGAAATGTCAAATGTCATTCGAAAATTACTCACCGCCTAGGTTTAGGACAATTCCATTTTCCTTCATACAGTTTCCTATAATTTCCGTCATGTTTTCTTTATGCATCACCTCGTGCATCAGCTCATGGCATTCACCTGTTCAAGAGAATGATCCAAGTTTAGTTTTCCTAAAGATCTTTGTCATTGATTTCACAGTTTTATAGTAATTCCATAAGTTATGGATTATTAGTTCAAATCTATTAGTTCAAGGATATTGTACCTTGTTTATTGTTTACTATCTAATGTAACCTTCATGCGAAGCAAGTTAGTATGAGAATTATAACGTTATTTAAGCTTCTGCCAATAACGTGTAGTTAATCATGCTTTTATGGTCCATTTCATTATGTATAAAAGAACTGCACGAAGGAATTAGCATTCCATATCAAAGCGATAATTAACTTAATGGGATACAATGAGATTTTGAACGCCGGTGTCTTCGGGCGCGTGAGTACGTCCTCAGCAAATAACTAATTCAGAGATTCATTACATTTTGGACATGTGGAGATGGCAGTTGACCTGTGGCTAATATGTTGTGGCTCTCATGCTCATGCCAAACGGACGTTCAGCGTTCTTTGCAGTTGCCTAAATAGACAGAACTTCAGGCAGAAGAAAAGTGGATTTGGATAAGTTCCATGAAACTTCTTTGAAATGGCCTAGTCTTCCTTTTCAGCTAAAACATTGTAATATGTAGAATCAAAGAAAAGCTCTCGGGAACTTACCTCTTCCCCTAGAAGCCTGAACCGCCACCATGGCGGTCGCGAGCGCGAGCAACATCAACAGCTCCTTCATGATGACGATGGTGGCTCACTGTGAAACAGTATTAGTTATCTTTAGAGATTATATGTGTGTTTTTTTACATATATTTATGTATCTATATTTAGTCATTCATCTTTCTTTACATATATGTATAATCTAGAACATGTTCAACGATACATTTATAATGTAAACAGAATAAACACATATGTGTATTTATGTTTATATATATGTGTGTTTATATGTGTTTATATATGTGTATGTATATTTACTCATAATCGAATAAAGTGCATATATACAAATACATATTTATAAATAACTTTTTTATATATATTTATATATATATGTATATACATATTTTAACGTACATATACAAGACACACACATGTACATGCATATATATATATATATATATATATATATATATATATATATATATATATATGCATATGTATATATATGCAGATTTATATATGCACACACATATGTATATGTATATACATATACAAATATGAAAGGAAAATATATACACATATATACATATACGCACACACTGATATATACATATACACAATGTACATACATATACATATAATATATATAATTATCTGTCTACTGATACTTTAGTGATGCATAAATATACAACATGTATGTTTTACATACATGTATATATTCATATATTTATATATTCATAACATATACGATGTATATATTATATCACACACACACACACACACACACACACACACACACACACACACACACACATATATATATATTTACATATATACGCGTGCATATACAGCGGATACTCACATGCAATATTGACACTGGAACTACTACAGGGTGTGAAGTCGTGTGGTGACTGGATGTTGAGTTGGCTTTTATATACGAAGCAGCTGCGTCTTTGCTGCTGTGTCTTGGTGACTCAGTTGTCACGGATGGGGAACACAGGCCAGTTTGTGGTGACGTCAATAGAATTGAAGTATTTGGATTTTTTATAAGGATTCGTTGGTTATTTATTCTCTCCCCATCTTCACTGTATGTACACACATAAATTCATATGTGTATATACGTATATATATCGAATTATATATATGCATATGTAATTATATGCACACATCACACATCATACACACACACACACACACACACATATGTTACATAGAAACATGCAGTTGCACACACGTATATATGTATATATATGCATGTATACACACACACACACACATATATATATATACATACATATATACATATATATATACACATACATACATATATATATACATATATATATATATATATGTATATATATTTACATACATATATATATATATATAAATATATATATATATATATATATATATATATATATTAATAAACAACACAAACACCTTTTGGTGGTTTTTATGTATGTAATATTTGCACGCATGCACTCATATATGTAAATGAGGTATGGACATGAGGATAATGCATTACATCAGTTTTGAGTTATCTGTCGTCTTTATTTTTTAAAAATAGTTTCTTATATGGAGTCCTTGCAATAATGATAAATGATTGTATATATGTAGACAGGCAGATAAATATACATAAATATATATATATATATATATATATATATATATATATATATATATATATACAGATGCATAAACAAATACTCCTCTGATTTAGCTGATCATCTTAAAATTTAAGAACTATAAAGGTACTATAAAGGAATTTTTGTAAAAGGAAGAATAAATAATTTTGATAGTTTCTCTCCTCACATATGCCATATCAGGCCTGGAAAATTATAACATAGGTATATATACACATTAGATATATGTATAAATATGTATATATACACATGCATATATATATGTACTTATATATACACATGCATATATATATCTATATGTATATACATATATATTTATATGTATATATGTTAATTCGTGTCTTTAATGACTACTCGAAATCTTTCAAAACAAATTATTAATTAATGAAAAAAGATATGCGAATCAGAAAACGAAAATGTTCACATTATCATCATCCGGATTTAGTCTGACTGTCCGTAGAATATCAATGGGCACCGGATTATTTAAATTTGCTTTTTAGTATACAGTATATATGTGTTTGTACAGTATATATATACACACATGTGTATGTACATGTATATGTATAAGTACATTTCTATTTCTATCTCTCTAGAGTATGATTGTATGGTAAGTGTACCAAATGCTGGACACATATCGCTTCACTGTTGAAAGCTAGTATATTTTCCGTATTCCTTTCCTTTGGTGTCCAAATAGCATTGTCACTGTGTAATTCCTAGAAACTCTCTTGTGTAAATCGTTGGTTTTGTGCGATTTCTGACAAAATAACGTCTTATACTTTCCTTCGATTTAATGGTATATTTACGATAAATCCTGTAGTTTAATTAAATATACCAAATATCTATCTAGAATGCTAGAAGAAACACTTATTCACAGTAAATTAAAGAGAGAAAAATAAACAAATAAAAAGCATGTATATGAAAGTAGACCTGGCTGGTAATACTCGTTGCTGAGAAGTTAAATGCGTTTTGAATACTGCTTTGTTGCTGCTTTAATTTGCCAGCAACATTTAGTCGAAAAAATTTCATAGCACACGCACGTTAAACTTTGAGAATAGTTCTAAAAGTCTTTTTTTCAACCTGTGTTCAATTAATGGGGTTATGAGTGTTTTATTGTTATGATACCAATAACCCTTTTCACACGATGAAATCAGGGAAAATTTATACAGAGTTAGAAAGAAGAGACAGCAGATCTGCGCCCAAGGTTAAGATGGAAGTCTTTCACAAACCACTTTGGTGCTGAATAGTAACATCATTGCAAATCTGTCTACGATTTGGATTAAAATCGGTCAAAATAATAAACATTACCTATAACATATCTTCCTGCACTGGTGGGTGTAGAAATTGGAGTTTAGTGAAAACATGAGAATTTTATTGAAATTAATTATATTTATTCTTTAGAATATATAATTATATAACACATTAATATGTGCACACACGCAAAGCACAATTGTTAATGATAAATGAGTGCAGATGTTTCATTGTAATTGGAAATATGCTTACAAATGTCAAAAATATAAAGTTAAAGGAAACATTTCCACATATTGTGTTGGTATTCACTCATCCTTGTAGATACTATAAACTGTTTCATATTTTGTTCCTCAAAAGCCTCTTTTACTAGTCAATCCTTCCAACTTCCCATAGGCATTCTTTGGTTTAGATATTTAATAGTTTATTCTTGAGGCAAGACAAAAATGTTATTAGGGTTGAAGTGGTATGGGGACTAAGAGACCTTTCCCAGTCGTCGCTCAGTCTTGGGTTATTAAAAAGGGAAAAAATGGAGATAGCGGTCTGCCAGCAACAGTTGGTTCCCTGCATATATCTCATCGTCGTAATTACTGCATAATGTATAATAATTGTGGTCCTTCGTATTCGAGGATGACGCATCAGTGTTTGCGCTTATGGGCTTGGAGCCCAAAGGCGGAAGCGCACACCTTGCCGCATAGATCGCAGGACACTGCAGTGCTGGGATCAGGCACTCTGGTCTTTCTAGCCTGTCTTTTTTCATCCAGCCTCTGCAGTCTGCAGTATTCGAATATTTCTTTGCCCTCACGGATGGTTGCCCTCCACTTCGGTCGGTCCAGGGCCGTGGCTTGCCACCCATCAACTGGGATGTTGTAGGACTTGAGGGTAGATTTCAAAGAATCTTTGTAACGTTTCCTCTGCCCACCTCTGTGACGTTTCCCAGTTGAGAGCTCAGCATGGAACAGCTGTTTAGGAAGTCTGCTGTCGTCCATGCGGGTGACATGCCCTGACCAGCGAAGCTGTGACTGACTCAGCATGGCTTCAATGCCAGTGAGCCCAGCCCTCCGAAGAATCTCCTGATTGGGCTCACGGTCCTTCCAACTGACTCGGAGGATTTTGCGCAGGCAGCGCAGGTGAAATTGATCTAGTTTTTTTATATGCCGCCTGTAGCAAGTCCAAGTCTCACAGCCATAAAGGAGAGATGGTAGTACCACATCCCTGTATACGCTCAGCTTGGTTTTGGTTGAGATGCCCCGCTCTTGCCATATTCGTGTGTGAAGACGCCCGAATGCCCGGCTAGCTTGGGAGATGCGACACAGAACCTCATCATCGAGGTTGGCTGCAGAATTTATACTGCTGCCTAGATATTTGAAGCTCTCCACTTTTTTCAGGGTATTGCCATCCATAGTGATGTTGGGTGGAGGCCGAGTGGTGTTTGGTGCAAGCTGTCTCAGTACCTCGGTTTTCTTAATGCTGATTGTCAGCCCAAACATCTTTGCTGCAGTGGCAAAGCAGTCAGCAAGCTCTTGGAGATCTTCCTCAGAGTGAGCTGCAAGTGCGCAGTCATCTGCAAAGAGGAAGTCTCGCACAACTGCCTGACGCACTTTGCTATGAGCCTTCAGGCGACGGATGTTGAAGAAGTCGCCATCGGTACGATAGTGTACTGTGACTCCTGCATTAGTTTGGGCGAGTGCTGCAATTACATTCAAGGAAGATTTTTCATAAAAATCAGGTTAGAAAGGATCGAATGAATGCTAAGGATTTATTAGGATTTGAGAATAGATTTTGGATTCAAAAGATTTTGAATCGAATCGGCATTTACAGGATCAATTATCAATTTCAAAGGAGCGTAGAGAGGATTAGCGGTAACTTTGCTCTTTCCGTGTTCATTGTTATTCTTCTTCTTCAGATGATGGTTCGGTTGCTTCTTTGCACTCATCCTTGAGGCACCATATGAACCGGAAGACCAGCATCAACTACGGATAAATAGAACGTAACCATTAGTGAAAACAATTTCGTGGTATAAAATGCTTGAAAAAAATCTTCGACACTGGGCTATTCTCATGCAGTTAAAAGAACATTTAAAGAAAGTCTCAAATCATAGTTGGCAGTTGATTATTTCTTTCAGGTGAGTATGAAAGCCTTACGTCAGGTTCGCTCTCCTCGACTACACAAGTGCCGTCCTCAATGGCAGCCAACATAGCATCTGCTTGTTCAGTTTGCTCTGCTTCTCCTAACTTGGCGATCACTTCTTCTGTGAACGCCGTCGCATCGAACAAACCATCATCCTTTTTATAAATGAAATTAAAATATGATGAAGTACTGATATGGATTCAACCTTTGGTGACATAAAGTAGTATAATATTACATTCTTAATGTTTATGCAGATGGTAAATAGAAAAGTGCATTACTCACAATGATCTGCTAACAAAATTTTTACATTGGTGTTTAAATACTCACTGTGAGAAGGTCTTCCTTCTCGAAGATACATACCATCATCCTTGTATATATATACGATGTATATAAAATGTAATGGAATAATGGCATGGGTATAATCTTTGAAGACATAAATGAATATAATATTACATTAATTATGTCTGTCTGCATATGGTAACTTCAAAAGTACATTACTCATAGTGACCAGCTAAAAAAAATTATATTGGTGTAAAGTTTAAATACATAAAGAGGAAACTCACTGTGAGAAGACCTTCCTTATCGAAGATGCACTCGGCTAGGACTGTCTGATTTTCTTGAGAAAGACTTGTAATGAACCGCACCATATGAGGACTTCTCTTTCCTTTGCGGCCACCGGATCGTCGACCTATGGATATTTCATTTTTACTTCCAACCATTTCATTGTGTTTAGCTGACATGCAGCATCACGTGACCTTATCTCACAATTTATCATTTGTGTTTACTCTTAGCTGACTTCCAGGTTCTTAGTCACCAAAATAGTGGATATTGCATGTTTCCGGTGACATAGTTAATATTATCCCTCATATGTCAAATGTCCTTCGCTAATTACTCACCTAAGTTAGGGACGATTTCATTTTCCTCCATACAGCTCTCTATGATTTCCTTCATGTCTTCTTTATGCATTACATCGCGCATCAGCTCGTGGCATTCACCTGTTCAAGAAGATGATCCAAGTTTACTTTTCATGAAAATCTTTGGCAAATGAAGCTGATTTCACACTTTTAGAGTAGTTTCATTGGTTTTGTACTATTAGTTCACTATATTATCGCTTGCTTGTTGCTTACTAACTAATGTATCCTTCATGTGAAGCAAGTTATTATGAGAATTCTCACGTTACTTACGTTACGCGTCTGAGTATTAAAGCGTAGTTAACAAAGTAAAGACTTTAATGATGCATTTCATCATTAACAGTTAACAGAGAAAAAAACTAATTCGCCACAAAAAACATCATGTGAATGCAGTGATAATTAACTTCATGGGATACAGTGAGTGGCTTAGGGCGCGTGGCTACGTCCTCAACAAATACCTAACCAATCCAGAGATCCGATAGATATTCGGACATATGGAGATGGCAAGTGACCTCTGTGACTGATATGTTATGGTTCTCACTGTTATGCTAAGCGGACGTCCAGTGTTCTTTTCACGTGCCTAAATACACAGAACTAAAAGGCAGAAGGAACACGGATTTGGATAAGTTCTATGAAACTTCTTTGAAATAGCTTCGCCCTCCTTTTCGGCTAAAACGTAATATATAATATTTGGAATCAGGAGAACCTCTCAGGAACTTACTTTTTTCCTTGCAAGCCTGAACCGCCACCATGGCGGCCGCGAGCGCGAGCAGCATTAACAGCTTCATGATGACGATGGCGGCTCACTCTGGAACAGTGTTATTGTTAAACACTCTGTGTTTCTTTTACATATATCTATGTATCTCTCTATATATACTGTAAATATCTATCTATGATCTGGTACTTATCCAACTGACTGTAAATACTATAAACATGCACATGCATACACACACACACACACACAATATATGTATATATATATATGCATATGAGTGTTAATATGTATATGCCTGTGTACATGTGTATATAATTACCTATTTACCCATAATGTAGATATATATTTATGGATATATATACATATATGTATATATATATTATACATTTATTTTTATATATATCTGTATATATACATATATGCACATACACGCACACGCACACGCACACACATATGTGCATGCATTCACATATATATGCATATAAAAATACAAATATATGTATACCTATCTACTCATTATATATATGCAAGACATATTTGCATATATATATTATATACATTATATATATATATACATACGCACGCACATATATACTGTAAGTACATATAAACACAGGTATATATATACACACATTTAATTATATATACTCATATGTATGCATATATAGATATATATATATATACACACACACACAGGTATACAGTGGATACTCACAACCAAGAGTGACACTGGAACTACTACAGGGTGTGAAGTTGTGTGGTGACTGGATGTTGAGTCGGCTTTTATATACGAAGCAGTTGCGTCTTTGCTGCTGCGTCTTGGTGACTCAGCTGTCACGGATGAGGAACACAAGTCACTTTGTGGTGACGTCAATAGAATTTAAATATTTGGATATAGTATAAGAACTTACTTGTTATCTACGCATCCTAATTGAGAAATATTCATCAAATCATACACTTGTGTCCACTGCAACATATGCAGTACTGCCGCAGCACTCGTACACTGAATCTACTACCAACTCTCGGAATCTCTTCCTTCCACTCTTCTCTGTATGCACACACTCACATATGTGTATGTACATGTAAATATATACATATACATGTATATGTAACTATTCATACGCATACACACTCACACACACAAATATATATTCGTATATAAATATATACACATACATATATGTATATATTACCCAGAAACAGACGCAGATGCTCACACACACACACACATACACACACACACATATATATTTATATATGTAAAAAAACAACAACAACAACAACAAAAAAACACATACTTGTGAATCCTATGTATCTAATATTTACACGCATGCACTCACATATGTACATGAGGTATGGGTGTTAGGATAATGCATTACATCAGTTTTTAATTATCTGCTGTTTTTAAATGTATTGATAGTTTATTATATGCAGTAAATGGCTCCTAAGAATAATGATAAAGGATCGTATATATCTGTAGAGAGGCAGGTGGGTAGATGTAAATAAGAGTGGTAGATATATACATATACATGTACATATACATATATATACATATACATGTACATATACATATATATACATGCACAAACAGATATACCTCTGATTTACTAGCACGTATCTATCTGATCTTGAAAATTAAAATCTATATATGGTGCTTGTGAAGAATATTCATGAAAGGAAGAATAAGCAAAAGAATTTTATAATTTCCTAACAAATAGAAAATCTGGAGAGTTATAACACAGATACACGTATACATTATATATATATATATATATATATATATATATATATATATATATACAGTATATATATATTTCGAAAAGTCACTAAAGCCACGAATTTGCATATATATATATATATATATATATATATATATATATATATATATATATATAAATATACATATATATGTATATATATATATATATATATATATATATATATATATGTATATGTATGTATATATACATACATATACACACACATACAAACGAATTCGTGGCTTTGGTTGCTTCTCGAAAATCTTTCAAAAAAATATTATTAGTTAGTGAAAAAGATTATGCGAATCATGCAAACATGTCACATTTCTGAATAATTTTCCATACATCTCGATATAATTTCATCTACAAAGGCATAGCATACGATTTTAGTCTTACTGTCCTTGCATATTAGTGTGCACCGAATGATTTGAATTAACTTTTTAGTGTATATACATTACATGTGTATGTATGCGCGGTATGTATATATGTATATGTACATTTCTATCTCCATCTCTCTGTCTTTTTATAGTATAAATGTACGACGGTAGGTATGTTAAGTATACCAAATACTAGACACATACCGCCTCACTGTTGAAAGGTGGTAGAATTTTCCGTATTCATTTCCTTTGAAATAAATAAATAAATAAAGAAAAAAACATGTATATGAAGGAAGACCTGACAGCTAATACTCGTTGCTGAAAAGTTAAATGCGTTTCGAATACTGTTTTCTTGCTGCTATAATTTCCTAGCATTTTGATCCTCCATCAAAACTGTTACGTATTTCATTCACTTCAGTAAATACAAAATTCCTATACACGCGATTTTAACGTCTGATTTCGCCTATAGGGACTGAGGGACTGAGGGACCATACAATGGAATCACGGAAAATATATGCTGAATTAGAAATCGGAGACAGTAGATCGGCACCTAAAGTCAAAACAGAGGTCTATTACATACCACTTTGGTGCTGAATAGTCATTTTATTGCAAATCTGTACGTGGATCTGGTTGCAAACCCAAATCTATATGAAAATTCTTGGACCAAGGGCGGATGAGACTTGAATTTTGATTAAAATCGGTCAAACTATTTTTGAGAAACAAACAAATAAACATTGCCTAAAACATATTTTCTTCCATTAGTGGATGTAGAAATAACAGCTTTGTGTAAACCTGAGAATCTTATTCCAAAAAATTATATTTAGGTTATTTCAATTTATAACACATTCATATGTGCACACATACACATATATTAAACCAGAACCTTTATTATACTTAGAGATATGCTTACTAATGTGAAAAAGGAAACATTTCCACATATTGTGTTGATACTTACTCTTCCTTAGATACTATAAACTGCCTTGTAATTTGCCACTTCCTCAAAAGCACCTTTTACTATTCAGTTTTTGAAACTTCCAATTCTTTGGTTTAATAATTCAAAGGTTTTCTTGGGGCAAGACACAAATGTTATTAGGTCCACCATTAAAGAATTGTTGATTTGAATAACAGTTATTTCTACTATAAGTGTCAAAATAAAATCTACCGGCAACAGATGGTTTCCTGAATGTATTTCATCATCGCAGTTATACTGTTGACATATGCACAGTCAAGTTACATTCAAGAAGGATTTCTTTAATAAATATCAGGTTAGAAATGATCAACTGAATGCTAAGGATTTATTAGGAAGATATGTAGACAATAGATTAGATTTTTGATTCAAAAGATTCTGAATCGAATCAGCATTTACAGGATGAAAATTATCAATTTGAAAGGCGCATAGATAGGACTTCCGGTAACCGTTGCTTTGCTCTTTCCGTGTTCATTGTTATTCTTCTTCTTCAGGTGTTGGTTCGGTTACATCTTTACACTCTTCCTTGAGGCACCATATGAAATCGAAGACCAGCTTCAGCTACGGAAAAATAGAACGTAACCATTAGTGAAAACAATTTCGTGGTATAAAATGCTTGAATAAAATCTTCGACACTAGGCTATTCCCATGCAGTTAAAAGAACATTTAAAGAAAGTCTCAGATCATAGTTGGCAGTTAATTATATCTTTCAGCTGAGTATGAAAGCCTTACATTAGGTTCGCTCTCCTCGACTACACAAATACCGTCCTCAATGGCAGCCAACATAGCCTCAGCTTGCTCAGTTTGCTCTGCTTCTCCTAACTTGGCGATCACTTCTTCTGTGAACGCCGTCGCATCGAACAAACCATCATCCTTTATTTAAATAAATTAAAGATATGATGAAGTACCGATATGGATTCAAACTTTGGTGACATAGTAGTATAATAATACATTCTTAATGTTTATGCAGATGGTAAATAGAAAAGTGCATTACTCACAATGATCTGCTAACAAAACTTTTACATTGGTGTGAAGTTTAAATACTCACTGTGAGAAGGCCTTCCTCTCTGAAGATACACTCGGCTAGGGCTGTCTGACTTTCTTCAGGAAGGCTTGACATGAACCGCATCATACCAGGACTTCTCTTTCCCCTTTTACGTCCTCTGCGGCCGCCGGGTTGTCGTCCAAGACCTTTGGGTATTTCATTTTTACTTCCAACCATTTCATTCAGTGTTTAGCTGAGTGTCCAGCATCACGTAACCTTATCACACAGTTTATTGTGTTTACACATAAACGACTCCCAGGTGCCTAGTCACCAAAACAATGGAGACTGCATGTTTCCGGAGACATAGTTAATATTATCCTTCATATGACAAATGTCCTTCGCTAATTACTCACCTTCTAGATCGGGGACGATTCCATTTTCCTCCATACAGCCTTTTATGATTTCCTTCATGTTTTCTTTATGCATCACATCGTGTATCAGCTCGTGGCATTCACCTGTTCAAGAGGATGATCCAAGTTTACTTTTCATGAAAATCTTTGGCAAATGAAATTTATTTTAGTTTTATAGTTTTACAGTAGTTTCATAAGTTATGTAATATTATTTCACATCTTAGCATATTATAGCTTGTTTGTTGAATGATGCATTTCATTATTGAGTCAATTGCGAAAAATCCTAAATCTGCACAGAAAACTACATGGATGAATTTGCCTTGAGCATTGATAATTAACTTCATGGGATACAGTGGTATTTGAAACACCAGTGTCTCTGGGCGCGTGGCTTCGTCTTCAGCAAATACCTAATTCGGAGATTCCATTACATATTAGCACATGCAGAGATGGCAAATGACCTCTGTGACTGATATGTTGTGGCTCTCATGCTCATGCAGAGCGGACGTTCAGTGGTCTTTGCATGCGCATAAACAGAACTAAGAGGCAGAAGAAACATGGAATTTGGATATGTTCCATGAAACTTTGAAAGGGCTTCGTCCTCCAGTTCGTCTACAACGTGGTTATATTCAGTGTGTCTGGAATCAGGAAAAGCTCTCGGGAACTTACTTTTTTCCCTGCAAGCCTGAACCGCCACCATGGCGGCTGCGAGCGCGAGCAGCATCAACAGATCCTTCATGATGATGATGGCGACTTACTCTAGAACAGTGTTAGTTATGGTTAATTATTGTTAAACATTATGTTTCTCTTTTATCTATCTATCTATCTATCTATCTATATATATATAGCTGCCCATCTAGCTATATGTACAGGTTAGTATCTATCCCTCTGCCTGCCTAAGATACATTTATATAAAAATAAACATATGAATGTCCACACACACACACACTATATATATATATATACATATACATATATCGTGTGTATGTATGTCTCTGTATAACTGTATTACCTATTGACACATACTTGAATAATGTATACACACACACACACATATATATACACACACATATATATATGTACCTAGACACACACACACATATATATGTATATATATATATAAATATAAATAAATATATATATATATTTATTTAGATATTTATCTATGTATATATACATACATGTTGCATACATATCTATCTTTTTATATTTCTATATATCTATATATATACACACACACGCATATGCATATGCATATATGTACATGTGTATATACATACACACACACACAATGCATATACACAATACATATATACATATATAAGAATATATACATATACACAAATATGTAAATACACAAATAGGTAATTATACACACACACACAAACATATATATATATATATATATATATATATATATATATATATATATATATATATATGTATATATGAAAGGAAAACTGCCACAGTGAGAAACGAAATTGAAATTTCAATTTCGTTTCTCACTGTGGCAGTTTTCCTTTCATTTGTGTGTTCACGTTACTGTGTTTGTGTTTGTGTCACATATGTATATATATATATTACACAGATATCTATGTGCATGTGTATCATATATATATATGATACACATGCACATAGATATATGTGTAATATATGTATATGTATATATAGACACACACACACACATACACACAAATATATATATATATATATATATATATATATATACAAATACACAGTGTATATATAGAATGTATATATACATTATATTACACACATATATTCTATATGTGTGTACACACACACACACATACATATATATATATACGTATTTATATATATGTACATATACATTTATATACATATATATACATATATGTACACACATACATATTTGTCTATATAGATGCATATATATGTATATACACATACACACATACACAGACATATGTATACACACATTTATACATTTGTAATATATCTATAGATTTAACATTTAATACATATATATATATATACTCACACACACACACATACACACACATATATATAATATATATATATATATATATATATATATATATGTGTGTGTATATATATGTAGTAGATACTCACAACCAAGAGTGACTCTGGAACTTCTACAGGGTGTGAAGTTGTGTGGTGACTGGATGTTGAGTCGGCTTTTATATACGAAGCAGCTGCGTCTTTGCTGCCGTGTCTTGGTGACTCAGCTGTCACGGATGGGGAACACAAGTCCCTTTATGGTGACGTCAACAGAATGCATTTGGATTTTTTAAAGAACTAATTTGTTATTTAAGCACCCTCGCTAAGAAATATTCATCTATACATATACAGAGATATACTTGTGTTCACAGCAATATATGCAGATGCCTGCAGCACTCATATACTGAATTTTCTGGTAGCTCTTGCGCTCTTTCTCTGCTTTTCCCTCTTTTCTGTACGAATATAAATAAATAAGTATTAATATAAACGTATCTTATTTTTCTGCGCCTTATAGGTTAATTATCCATAACTCTTCCTTAGCAAGGTCGTGGAAACTTTCAATTGTATTTCTCAGATTCAGACAGATCATTTCTTTAATTTTCCTTTTATATCTGTACATCCACTTTTCTTCATATAGAAAGTGGTAGTAATATTGCGTGAGATCTAAGTTCACATACAGTCCGAATATCACACAACAAGATTAGAAAGATCATGGATATTTGTTGATATATAAATGCCTGTAATATATCAACAACTCAAGATATACATTTTGAGTTTTTGGGATAAAATCATACTGATACAGATTGAATTTGAATATATTCAATCCACCAAAATTGTTACCATGTCGTTTCAGAAACTCTAATTATTGACTACAATAAAAGTTCATTCAAGTGGAATGAACATGTATATGATATACTGCTAAAATTGTACAGAAACATTATATGCATCTTTAGATATGAAGAGACATAAAATACGATTTGTAATTAATACAAATTGGAATCCCTGAGGTCTAAAATGCTTGAATGAAAACACTGAGCTAATCTCATCCAGTTAAAATAAGATTTATAGAAAAAAAGTTCCAGATCAAAGTAAGCACATAATTATAGCTTTCAGCTGAATGATTCAGATTTTTTTTTATAATATTCATATGGAATATATTTTTTTTTCTGAAAATATTATTGACTTTCTTCCGGTAGCTCTGCCACCACCCGGGGGTATTGACGTTGAAGGAAACCCCGTGAGAAACCTCCGACCCGATTTTAATTCAGCCTTACTTCGCGGTCTAAAAAAGCCTTTGGGTTGGCTTGGTTTTATAAGTTGAAGATACATTAGTCACAGAAACTTATAATTTCCAATTTCTTCCTATTCGTCTTATTTTATAATCACAATAAAATTAACCAGACAGAATATCATATTGTTTTCCGTAACATGAGCAATGATAGATTGAACAAAGACCACAGGATAGATATAGGCATATATAAAGATAGAGATAAATAAATATGTATGTATGCACACACACACACACACACACACACACACACACACACACACACACACACACACACACACACACACACACATACACATATATAAGATAAAATTATACATATTGTCTAAGAATATCTAACACAGTTCTAGAGTGCATCGCCATCACCATCATGAAGGGGCTATCAAGCAGCAGGCCTCTAGGATAAAGCCATGCATATAGTTCCACATTGTCAATTCGAGGGTAATATGTTATGCAGAATTAAATCTTATTGCCAAATATTATATATTGGCTGCAGGTATGATGGTTCTTTGATAAAGGTAACGTTAGTCGCTTCTATATATGAATATAAGATGCACTTCTGTTATAATAGTATTACAGACCAATCGCTAAAGCACGGAAGTAATGCTAGAAATAATAAGGGTATATGGACAGTGGATTATGGGAGATCTGTGAGGATGAATTGCAACTCATTAGGATTACATTAGTCCTTTAGCATCATTAAGCAGAGAGGAAACAAGTAATACATAATGATGTTCAATACGACTATACAGTACATAGATTATGTTAATAGACTTTGATTCCATTAGAAAAAAAAAGAATAAACCTGAATCCTCTACAAAGCAGGGTAATAGCAAATCCTGAAGTCGAAGGATAGCATAGGCCAGTCTGTACAGGATTGCTTAGCAGAATTTGGAATCGAGAGTAAACAGTAGGTGCACGACTTACTGCACGATACTGGAGATTGTGATCAGGAGGGATACTACATATCTGTTAGGCTTTGAATCAAATGAATCAATATCCATGCTGTAAAAGTACGATGCCCGTGAGTCGTACATCTAATCAACGACCCGGAGGACGGCCTTGCAGAGGGAAGAGACGTCCTCATACGCTGAGGTGGCGGCGAGTCAGTTTGCGTCTGCCTAAGCGTATCTAAACCCGAGACTAATGTAAGTACTTCGTTAGCAATGCCATTTGAACCATGCTACTCTAGTTTCTTGCCATCTTCATACATAGTTGATGAATGTTATGTTAGTATATTAACTTCGAACTTCAAAGGTTGAGCCCGTATCATCATTTTATATTTTAATTTTCATGTAAACAAGAAAGAGGTATGTTCAGTGCGACGAAGTTCATGGTCGGAATCATCAGGAGAAGCAGAGCAAACTCCAGAAGCAGATGCTATGTTGGCTGGCATTGAGGACGGCGTTTGTTTAGCTCGAAAAGGGGGAACCTAACGTAAGGTTTCCATACTCACCTGAAAAATATAATTAATTGCTAAGGTCTGCGATTTTTATAATAAATAGTTTTGAAATAAATGAGAATAGATCAGTAATGTTTTTCTTCAAGTGTTCTAGACCAGGGGTTCTCAAACTTTCATGACTGCGACCCCTAAAAATAGATAGATTCGCGACCCATTCCTCCAACAACAAAGCATCCCTGACAACCACAACATTTTCCTGTCTCTGTGAATCTACTTGCCTGGCAATATATATGTATATAGGTATGCATGTATACAAGACATATATACATAAAGAGATAAATAAATATATATGTATGAATGCGCGCACACACACACACACACACACACACACACACACACACACACACACACACACACACACACACACACACACACACACACACACATGCACGCACGCACGCGCACACATACACACACAAAGAATCTTTAAAGGCTGAACAACTTACCATTATTACTAGGACGAGAGGGCTTACTTCCTTGATCGATGCTTGAAGCTGCATCACGATCATCCTCGACAGGAAGTTGGGATTGGTACTTGTGTTTTATGTAAGTCGATCCGAAAGGCGTCAGTACATTCATTGCGGCCTTGGATAATCCTGGATATTCTTCTGACTCTGATTTCCTGATTTATCCAGTGTTAGGATGGCTGGAGGATGAGAAAGAGGAAGGAGGGGGGACTGCAGGATATCGCGACTCCTCAGACTTATTTCGCGATGGGGGACTGGACACTCCGCCTCTGCTTTAGACCATGAAGATATTTTCACCAGTGATTTTCTATTAATCCTTAGTTTGAGGTGGTCTTCGATTACATGAGGCGCCTCGAAGATGAGTGCGAAGGCGAAACCGATCCAGAAGATAAAGAAGTATAACAAGAAACACGGAAAGAGGAGAGTTTCGGATCCAGATTTTCACCCCTTTTAGATTGCTAATGAAACCTGTGGCTACTGATTCGTTTCAAGTCGATGCGGCGCAGAAGTCGACCACTAGGTTTAGGTTTAGGTCTATATTCGACGATTCCCCAAAATAAAGCAATACCGCTTCCCCAGCTGCACTGTAGAGAGAAAAAAAAAATGATTTTTTCTATTCTTCTGAAACACTTTGGTTGTAAGTGAGTTCGAACACAGAGTAAACCAACCTAACCAAATTTTAACGAACCAAACCTACCCAATGAGTTATGTTATTGATATTATTACAATCTCTACATTAATTAGACCTATCAAAGAGTCTCCGTAGAAATTAAGTGTAGTTGGCTGCGAGAATTTTGGGAAATGGTTTTACAACGAATGCTAGCCAGGAAGTATCACCTGTTTACCCCTCAGTGGTGATGGTTCACATTTTATAGTCGACCCCTAGTTTTGGAGATATGAATCCTTATCTTTCTATCTACAGCATCTATATCTATATAGTTAGAATGATATACATAGATATAACTATCTATGAATGTCTATCTATCTATCTGTATATATACACATACTATGAATAAGCAAATATATATATACATACATATACATATATATATACATACACATGCACACACATACAAGGACCGTCTCTCTAATAATACCCAGTTTTGCTGATCTCATCCCTAACATGCTCGGGGGGCTCCTCTTGCCTCCTTTCTGGCTAGTTGAGCGCTCTGATGCCTGTTCTCTCGTCTTGCAGGTTGCGCCGATTATCTGAGACCTGTTGACGAAACTGCTCGTGTGCGACATGAACTGATCATTTTCGGTGAGTCTTTTGAATTCACGGATGCGCTGACGGACACACGGAAGTTGAAATATAAGCACCGTTTATGGTTTTGCGTTAGTCTGCTTACGTGGCTGTTAGTTAGACCATTCTGATTCGGACTGCCGCTGAAGGTGACAGAACAAACTAGCATTTATATGTACCTGAAGGTGACTTTCTGACAGAGGAGGCCGTTCCATAAAAAAAAAAATTCTTCTGGACACCCATCTTTCGATATAACCGCTGTAAAGTAATTGGAATATCTGTTTCATAATTACTATTATCATAGGTGCAACATTTAATAAAATAAAACTTGATGTGAATGTGAAACAACATTGTAAAGGATATCACTACAGCTAATGAATCTTTATTTTTCCTAATGCAAGCCCTGGTCTTTTTATTAATGACCTTTTTGGGTGTTTAGTTCCTCAATGACCTGACTGAATAGACTGCTATCTTGCAACAATGGCAACACGTAGCACAGAACATGCAAAATCTGGCGTTGGAAGATGATTATTTATTCTTTCTTGTCAGAATTTCTCTGAGAGCGGAGAAATTTCTTTCACACATCCCATAATGTCTAGGGATACAAGTAGTGCTGATATATATATATATATATATATATATATATATATATATATATATACATATGTATATATATATATACA